ATTACCAATGTTTTCAAGAAGTGAAGATCTGCTTTCTATGGGTTAGTATGTATGTGAACTTTCAAACTGAGGTATAAAATATACAGGTCTTACCCACCGGGATTACAACTGAGATGGAAAAATGCACAAAATGTTGTAAAAATAAACTATTAAAAATAACTAGAAACAAAGGACAAAAAATATACAGATCTTGAATGGGGAGCTCAGGGAATTTTTATATCCATATACCTGTGCAACTACCATCAGATAAAAATTTCTAGTCCCCTCCCTCTCAATGCCTTTCCTGTCACAAAGGCTTATAATGAATATTATAACTGAATAAATTATTTCCTTGCTTGGCTATACCTATAGTCCAGCTCAAGGATTTCTGAATTGTGGAGAAATGGGTGTGAAGTAGAAACAGGGCTTGAGTTCTCACCTCACCACACGGCTGATCCTGGGGTTTCCATCAATCTTACAGAAGCAGTTGCAGGAGCTACATGATTTGTTTTGCCAAGGTAGGCACCTCCTATCTGGAAGTCTTGCTAAATTTTTGGGCAGGGGGATCGTCAGAGCCTGCAATCAGTTGGCATTTCCAGCAGATAGGCGCTGTTGCTGCTTCTCTTCCATTGAGGGTCACGCCCATAAAAAGAGGCTTTCTGGGCCCTGCTCGGGTAAACTTGAGTTCCGGGGACAACTTCCAAGCCTGTTTTTTCACCTGTCAAAATGGCGGGAATATTTTGAGTTACTGGGATGATATCTGCAGATTCATCTAGCTAGCTTTATCTCTTTGACTTCATTCTACCCCAGCTGGATGTTTTTGTTCTGGCCCTCAGATTTTTGCCTTTACAGTTCCCTGTATCTTGATTTGGTGACACCTGCTTCTCTCAACTCAGTCTCCATTTGCCTGGCCCCTCCTCAGGTAATACACTCTTTACTTCTCATAGCCTTTAAGTACCTATTTAATGTATCAATTTCGGTTTCTTGTGTCTCTCCTGGTAGAATGCAATCTAGGAATTGATACACTTCCTTCATGTTTCCAGCTTAGGTTTTGCACTGAGGAACTATAATCGCTGAAACAGGAAACAAGCTCAGAGAGGTGGAACCATTTTTTCATTGCCACACAGGAGAACTGGAATTAGACTCGCAGGCGTGCGTCTTTGATTTTCTTTCCTTTCTGTCTAGTGGGAAGTAGGGAGAGAAGATTTAAGGGGCATTCCAAAAACTCATTGGGATGATGATGATTTAAAAATCAGTATTAATGCAAAAAAATGTGATGACCAATTTTTAAAAGACAAGATCCAACCTGCACTTACAAGACTAAACTCACCCCAACCCCTGTTCTGGAAGATTCGATCTACTAATATCTAAAATGTTGGTGTTTTGTTTATCCCGTATTAATTTTTCCCATTAATTTCGATATTTAAAATACATTTCATTAGAATATTATTTTTTCCTCCATGATTGAGTTTTAGTTCCTAGTCTTCTTTTCCCTTAGGGAAACTGAGGTATCGAAAATGGAAGCGGCCAGTATTCCCCTGGGAAGGGCAGGTGCTGCCTATTCCTTATCGCCTACATTAGAAGTAACTAATTAAGTCCACCGCCTATGGGAAGACCTTTCCCGGGGCCATCCACGCCGCCTGTGGGGCCCAGATAGCAGCTGCCCCAGGCAACGGTGACCTTTCCAGGTTGCTTTCTGCCGAGAATAGGCGGAGGAAGGTTTTGCTCTGGTGCTGGAACCTAGGATCGAACTCCGCCTTGGCTCCCCGCGTCCATCCCACCATTGAAGCGCAATGGAGAGATGGGGTGAGAAGAGGGCCCAGTGACAAAATCGAATCCCAAGCCTGGCCTCCGCCGCAAACATCACAGACGAGCAAAGGTGCGTCACCACATTCCTCCCCTGACGTCAGCGCGTGAAGGCAAAAAACTGGCACACAGGGGAAGGCAGAGTCTTAAGGAAGAGATCTTCCTTTCTCGTCCTTTTCATTTGGTAAGGTGTTTAAAGTACGCAAGAACAGACTACCACTCCCAGCGGGCGCTGCGCACTGCGCACGCGCACAGTTTCCACCCAGAGGGCGCGGCAAATTTTTGGGAGTAGATTGACATCCCTTTAATCCAACCACAAAGCAGATTTGGTGATCGAACACCAATCACGATCTTACAGACCCACCCCTTTATTCTTAGTTCGCAGCTTCCTTGTGGGAGTGACGGGCTCCGGTGCCTTAGAGGGTTCCGTTTCCTTTGATGGACACTGCTACTGGTAAATCAGAGCGCTGGGAAGTCGAGAGCGTGCTGAAAAGCATGACTTGGGACCAATAGCTTGGCGACAGGATCCGCCACCGTCCAATCACTTCTTCCGGCACCGCCAATCACCCGGGACCCCGCCCCAGCGCGTGACGTAAGTAGGGTGGGTAGCAACAGTTGCCCCGGTGAGGGAAACGGAGGCGCCATAGCCACGGTAGTCGTGGCGACCAAGCAACCCGGCAACGCGAGTCAACAACAACAACAGCCCGGCAGACCCCCACCCCCAACCCCCTCCCCCCAGCCTGGCCCGGGGACCCTGGCACGTTCCGTCGCCCTTCCAGCATCGCCTCTAAGACCTCTGGAAAGCCCTTCGGCGGACAGAAGTGGGGAGAAGCCGAGGTAACCAGATCAGCCCCGGGGTGGCGGGCCAGACCTGGGCGGGTGGCTGAACCCGGGTGGCGTGTGTCGCTGAAGTCCTAGTTCGGGGGGAAGGGGCGGGCGATCAAAATGGCGGCGGCGACAGTCGGGGCCGTGGGGGAGGGGGCCGTGGCCCGGCTGGGGCGACACCACCCGCCCTCAGGCACCGCGGCCCGGCCCCCGTGAGGGGCGGGCGCTCGCAGGCCGACTGTAAGTGGAGGTCGACCGGCCGCGGGGGGCTTTTATATGTCGGGAGGTGCGGAGGGGCGGGCCTGGGAAGGATGGGCCAATGAGAGCGAGGGAGGAGTGAGGCGGGGCCGAGGTGGGTAGGCGGGGTGAGGTGGGGAAGGTGTGGGTGGGGCTGGCCCGGGGCCCCAGGCACCAAATAGGGCAGCTATTGCTGGGACCTCTTTGCTCTGTGAATCGGAGCGAGGCCACCTGTACTGTGTCCCTTTAGAATCCTTAGTAGTCTCTAGGACTCTATCCACCTGAGGCCTCAGTTTTTCATTCTGTGAAATGGGGAGAATCATTTCTTCACCTCTCTTGCACTTCAGGGACTTCATTTCTTTCAGGAATTTCTCTACTGCTCATATTTTAACTCTACTGTTTCTGAATGTGGTTTGATAACTGTTAGCTAGTATCAATTTCAACACTGCTGTCAGTTCCCAAATCTGCCAGAGGCAGTTTCACTGAAAAGCTGTAAGTTCGGAGTATGGCTTTAGCATGGAGGATTTGTTTGCCAAAAGTGAAACCCATGATTGGTAGGAGTGATCTTGTGTGATTGAGTTAGAGGAACAGAAACTTGGTTGCTTCTCTGTGGGCCGCTGTCTTTGAGCTAGTGTTGTCCGGGGAAGGGCTCTATTCCTGGAGGTGGGACCTTTATCACCTGTTCTGCCCATTAAGGTCTTTCTTTTGGGAACAGGGAACAAATAGCATCTGAAGATGTTTCTTAGCTTCTTTAAGCTGCTTCTCTTTGGCCATACACATATTTTGGTCTCAATCAAATTAGTGTCAGCTGGATCACATGTCTCTGAGGAGGTACCAGCTTCCAGAGCCACTTTGGCAGGACACCAAGGTCAGAAGGAAAGGGAAGTAAGCCATTACTTTGGAGGGGGGATTTTTCTTCTTGATAACTAGCCGGCCCAAGTCCATTTTGGTTCTGCTTGTCTTGTTTTGGACCTTGGCATTAGCAGAGCAAAGTGACTGTATGCGAAATGCAACCTTTTTTTTTTAATCAATCAAGAAGGATCATTTCAGGCTCTCCCAAAGCTTCCCCCTAAGAATTTGATTTTTTAAAAAATATATTTATTTATGCATACAAGAACTGGAGTACAGGCCAGAAGTGCAGGGGTGAGAGGATTCACCAGAAGCAGAGTGGGGAGCAGAACAGGTGGACCCACTGCTGAGGAGAGCAGCAGGCAGGACAGGAGAGGTCTGCCAGGTCACCGCCCTTGCTGGGGATCGAACTTGTGACACAATGGCTGAGGACAGCTTTACAGTGCTGTGCTCTAACCCTTGCACCACCAGGGAGATCCCCAAGAATTTGATTTAAAACCAAGGTGTAGCACATTTCCCCTGGGACTCTTCTTAGGCCAGACCCTTTTTGAGACATGGCAGAATCCTAAGAAAAGCAGAGATAAATTTTCGGTAAAAATTTGGAAATACCAAATTGCCAGGAAGATCAGCAGCAACAGCTGCCTGAAAGACAAAGCAGTGGAAAGTGAAGTCAGTGCTTATCTAGTCTAGTTGACTGCTGCCACTCCCTTCCCCCACTTTTGCATTTGAACCCAGGCCTAAAATGACCTTTTGATTGACTAAAGCTAGAAACAAAGGCTTGGTTTGAATGTCCTTGAAATTATCCACTGTTTTCTACTTTTGTGTTCTAGTGCCAGTTAACTTCTTGGGGCCCTCAATTTCCTCTCCTTTAAGCTAGGGCCTGTGATCCTTGGCAATGATTTTATTCTCATTCCTGTGCTGTGGATCCAACAAAAGAATACATGTTGAACATCAAATACATAGTAATTGCTCAAACTGTGTTAGCTGCTACTGTTATTATGATGATAGTTGCTTCCTGCTCAGCCCTCAGAATTACACTGTTCGCATTTATTTTTATCATTTTGAATTGTGTGAGAACTTGGTGACTTTAAAAGTTGACTTGCTTGCTGGGCCTTGTGGGCCATGATCCCAGGAAGCTGAATACCAGGATTCCAGTTTTCAGTGGAAAAGTGTTACACCCCTTGCTCCTGAATGGCCTGTCTCCAACTTTAGGGGAGAAGTCAGTAAGACAAATTGTCCCTGGACTAGAGGTTCATGCTCAGTCCCAAGCCTTTCTTCATTGCAGGAGTCTTCTGGGTGAAGCAGGAGTTTGGGTATCATGGGAAAGGTGGGGACCTAGGTAAGTATCTCTGAAACTGAAATCCTTGCCCTCTTTTCCCACCACCTGCTGTCATATCCTGGGGGCTAGGGACAAGGGATCGATCAGGCAGAGCCCTCCAGGGACACAACCTGCAGATTGAAACTGCTCATAGTCTTCCTGAGCTAGGAGACCTGTTCTGGACCCAGAGTCATCACCTGCCCCTATAGCAGAAGTCTGCTGCTGGTAGGAGATGGTAAGTTTATTTATAAAGCCTCACCAATCAATAGAACCTGCTTGGGCTACTCACGAGGCTGTGTATTCCCGGCACAGCACATAAATACTCTATTAGACCATAAAAGTGTGTCTAACAGTGTTCTAGGAGCTAGTGATGGATGATGGACAAGGCAGACCATTATTAGAAATGCCCACCCTTCAGGTCTATTATGGGTGAGTTATTGACAAGTCTTATAAACTAGCTGGACATAGAGGATGAGGGAAATCCCTTCATTATACATGATTTCCCTTTTGCCCCTCAGGTTCAGTATTGAAGCCATTCTATAGGTGTGGAAAATTAATTAACTTTTTGTTTCCTTTGGAGGAAGGTGTTCAAGAAGTAAGCCATTTAGTTATAGAACTAGCATTTAAAACAGAGTTTGTCGAACTGTGGTTCATTATCTTTTTTAAATATATATAACCCATGAGTAAATGTAAAAATGAATTTACATTTTTAAGTGAATATTTCTTAATTCATGTTTATTGACTAACAAAACTGTGTTTCAGGAGTTTACAAATATATGTTCTCATACTACACCCACTGTTAAAGTACCAATCATCTTCTACCATAGGCCACTGAGTCCTTCCCCCCACTTCAAAAGAAGATTTTATGACACAAATCACTATATCATGACATGAGAAAATTATATGAAATTCAGATTTCAGTGTCTGGAAATGAAGGTTGTTGGCACTCAACCACACTCATTTGTTTATGTATCATATATGGCTGCTTTCACACTGTAATAGCAAAGTGAATATCTGCAACAGAGACTATCTTCCCACAAAGCCAAAATGTTGTCTGTTTGACCCATTCTCCAAAAACAGCTGTTGGCTTTGAAGATAGGCACAGCCATGAGTGCTTTTCTTGGTAGTTTCATTGCCAAGGGACAGATTTGTGGAACAATTCCCTGTGTTACATGATGTACTAAATAAAAACAAAGGTGGTTCATACTCAATGATATGGGGAAGATCTCATGACGTATAGATACTGGTGTCTCATTCCTTTCTGTGTTATGCACCTGTAGGACTCTGCTAATTGTAGTCATCAACAAATGGAAAAACAAGGTTCCTCAGTCAAGTGTGGTAAACCTGGCACTCCATATCATCCTTCCTGGAGACTGACAGTACAGTGGTGGGAAGACCTCCAACAGAGAAGCCAGTCTAACTGTAATGTCAGTCTCCCACTTCCCCTTTGGGAGGGTCACTGAGTAGAAGGATGAGAGCTGAGGAGTCTGTACTTTAGGGAAAAGAAAGCACCAGCTTTCTTTTAAAGCCCTTTCTTTATGGGAGAGGGCCACAAAAAGCCAGCTCTCCTAGGACTGAGAAAGCCCAGGTCCGAGTTTCTCAGAGTGCTCCTGGGGCCCACTGACTTGGGATCATGGAGGAACTGTTAACTCAAATAGCAGATACCAGGACATGGTCAGAATCTGGGCAGTGGTACTCAGGAACTTGTATTTATTTAGTGATGGCAATCACCATCAGAGCCTGAAATGATCCTTCTGATGATGATGAGCACTAGGATTGGATTGATTTCTCCTCACTGCCTTCTTTCAAAAGCTCGAGGATTGATTGTTTTTTTCCACCTACAACCCTACCTGGCATGAATATTTGTTGGATAAAGAATAGTAATAGCAGTTTCTACTTCTTAGCACTTATTTAGAACTGGATTGATTTCACTGGACCATTACAACAGCCTTTTGAATTGGGTATTTTCGTCATCCCCAGGTGGCAATTGGGGAAACTGAGGCCCAGAAAAAGGTCAGTAATGTGTTTGTGGATTAAGTAAGAGACATACTAGGGTTCATGTCGATGTGGGTCTGACAACACAGTAACTTGAACACCTGAGCTGAGCTATAGAGTTAGGACCCAGTGGTGTCTGAAAGCAGCCCCTCTTACGCTTTCAGAAAGGAGTTTAGGGATAGCAGGAACTGAGAGATTTTTTTTTCTTCATGTAAGCAGTCGGCAGCTGCCTCTTTCCTTTAGCTGGGTGGGCAACCTCCCCCTAACCCCTGCCTGAGCCCCTGGTAGGAGAGCCCTGCCTTGCCTGATGGGAAAGACCAAGATAGCTTTCTGAGACCTAGATCCTGGCCCAGCCCATCTACCTCTGGCCCTCCCAAGCTGCCTTGAGTTCTGTGAGTACACTCAAATGTAGACAGAAGTCCCTGTACTCAGCAGCTCAAAGCCGTGGTCACTGAAAAGGAGGCAGAGCCTGGAGATTTTGTTTTGTTTCTGGAGCCTTGTTAAAGGACAAACACTGCCTATAAGGTCAGACTGAAGCCAGCAGCCCTGCATTGCATCCATTTTACAGAAGGGGCAGTGGAGGTGCAGGAAGGGGAGGCCCTCGCCACCCCCCTTGCTACCCCCCTACACACACACAGTGCCCCCTTACCACACAATTGGGATCATGTATCAGCCCCATTCAGGGCTCTTTTCTTACCTGCCTTGTTGCCTACTAACTCAGACATTTCTTGGGCTTGGCATCAAAGAGCAAGCCTGGTTCCTGAGGCCAGATGGGTACTAAGGGGAGTCATGAAGAAGTGGGGGTTGCTTTGCTCCTAGGCTTCCAGGGGCTGCTGAAGTGGGCTTTCCACTCAGTTCTGCTGCCCTGACTGAGGCCTCAGGAAGTGAGGTACGTGAAGGTGAGATTTAGGTCTCCCCATGTGAAAAATGGGACATGCCATTTATCATTATGAGAAATAGGTGAGCCCTGGGCATGGCTCTCTGACTAGGACTAAGGCCAAGAGTACATGTACCCCTTGCTCATCAGTCTCCACAATTCTGCAGGTGGCCCCAGCCTGGTTTTGCTCATGAATAGAATGGGTGTGGTGGTTCCTCCCTCCCTGTGAGGCCCTAATCACAGAAAAGCCCTCCTGAGACTCCCAGTGCATTGCCACAGTTGTTTTTCTCCTCCTTCCTGTTGAAAACCCTGCCTTGGAGTCTCCCTACAATGGAGACCTGCCTGCTGGTTCATCTTGGCCACAGGTGCTGGAGGGTTCTTATAAAAGCCTCTGGTTCATCTGCCAGCCGGTGACACTGCAGGCAGGACTTCTGTACTCAAGTAGCTCCAGGGCCAGGCCAGGGCCATGAAGGTGTTGGGGCTGGAGCTTTTCTTCTTACCTACTTATGCACTTGTGACAGTTTCCAAGGCGGGCACATTAGTCCGGGCCCTACTCTCTCCCCTGCTGCAGTAGGGCTTAGGGACAGGACACTGCTTAGTGAAAGGAGGAGGAGCTTAGCTAGAGGGATTCGGTGGGCCTGTGGAGAGGGAGCCTGGGCTTGGCAGGGACACCTATTCCAGCCCAGTTCCTGGGACAGGGACCACTGTCCTCTAGTAGCCAGGAAAGCTGCCTTTTCCCACTGAAGCCAGCAGTGGCAGCTGGGCTTGTCCTGTGCGCAGAGGCTGTTCCCAGCCCCTCTCACATCTGGTGTGCAGACATGTAAATATTCCTGGGCCAGGCCCTGAAAGGCCCTGTGGTCATGAGCAGCCCAGGGGTGGTGATTTTTGGACTCAAGATACCTTCCTCGCGTCTGGCACCCCACTAGGAATGATACTCAACTGAGAATCTGAGCCCAGATGGCAGGCATGAAGGGAGCTGGCACGGGTTCCCTGGGAGACAGCTTCCCCCAAGACTTTCTTTACGGGCAGTTAGCCAACTGTTAGTCAAGGGCTCAGAAAGCAGAGTTCCAACTCAGGCCTGCCATTTCTCTGTTGTGTGGTCTGGGGCAAACTCCTCAATCTCTCTGAGCCTTAGCTGCTCATCTGGTAGACCAAACTCACTCCCCTGACTGGTTATTGCAAAGTATAAAATGAAATACTGTTACCAAAAAAAAAAAAAAAAAAAAATTTTTAAAAAAAAAAAAAAAAAAAAAAAGAGGCCTCAAGTCAGTGCGCAGCCTGCAGTTCCCTCAAAGGAACTGTACCATTTTCTCTGGGTGATTTTACTCACCCTCCCCTCACCCCCACACAGGGGTCCCCCAGGCAACAGGGACTGGGAAGAAAGAAGCAGCATTCCTGACCAGGGGTGAATGGAAGATGAACAGACCAGCCTCAGTCCATACCCAGTTCCCCTGCAGATGGACTGGTTGTATCTGGCCACCAGCCTCGGGATTTAATTAAGTTAGTGATGAGCCCAAATATGTCTCCAGAGAACCAGGAACTGTCCCTGGTTTCCTTTGCTTGAGATTAATCCTTGTTTTCCTTCTTTTTTTTTTTTCCCTCTTCCCCCCTCCCCTTCTTCCCAAGGAAGAAAAAAAAAAAGCCTTATTTATTATCATTTTCCCCACTGTTGGCATGGCAACACAGGCGTATGTTACTGAGCTACAGGCAGCTCCGCAACCATCCCAGCCGCCACAGGCCCCACCACAGGCCCAGCCTCAGCTGACACCACCACCGCCAGCAGCGCCCCAGGCTCCCCAGCCACCCACCGCTACCACCCCTCAGCCCCAGTATGTCACGGAGCTTCAGAGCCCCCAGCCCCAGGCACAGCCACCGGGTAGCCAGAAGCAGTACGTGACGGAGCTCCCGGCCGCCCCCACGCCTTCACAGCCAGCCGGTGCACCCACCCCGACCCCGGTATCCCAGCAGTACATCGTGGTCACCGTCTCAGGTAAGTGGATATGTGTCCAGAGTTAGGGTGTTCTGAGAACAGCCCCAAGAGGAGTTTGCACTGCCCAACATTCTGGGTGTGGGGCCTCCATGATTTTCTCCATCACTTTCTGTGCCTGTCCTCAGCATGCATGGCAGGTTTGAATTTCCTGAGGTTCCTGGATGGGATTTGCAGGACATTCTGGGAAAGGAACAGTAAGACCACATAGGGAGGCTTCCTTAGTGCCCAACTCCTTTCCAGCATAGCAGCTCTTACAGCTGTTTCTGTCTTTGTCCCCAAACAAGCTGTCACTTGAAGAAAGGACTGGGAAATCCACTGGAGACAGGGGGAGCCCAGGGCCACTGCACTGTAGGTCTGGCCTTGAGGCCCACCATCCCTCAGCCACTCTGCCTCAGTTTCCCCATAAAGGCATCATAATAGCTTTATGCTGTCAGCTGCTTTAGAGAGAGTTGTTTGGGAGGAACCAGAGGTATCACCTCCTCTTAAGAGCGGCCTTTTCTTGTCTGGGAGGACCTAGAAGCTCAGGGGGGTTGTCAGCTGGGCAAATTCAAAAGCATGTGGTCCCTATTTATCCCTGCCACTGTTCCTTGAGCCTGTGGAGAAAATAACTAGGAAGCTTGGGTTTTAGACCCTGGGGCTTCCGCCTGGAACAACTTTCCCATGCTCTGGTTCTTCCCAGGATCTGAATGTATTGAGCCGAGGAAACCAGAGGGAAAGGGTGGGCCTGACAGTCACTTCCCCAAGGGAAAAGATGGGACTCAGACCAGGACCAGGTGATGTCGCATTTGCGGTATGCTCAATGGAGGGATGAGGGGTGACTGTGGGAAAACCCTGGGTTGAGACTGTGCCCTGCCCTTCTACAGCAGAAAAGTTGGTGGCAGGGCCCCTTAGAGAATCCCCCATCTTCAGAGGCTGTGGAAGGGGCAGGTCAGGATCAAGTTTGGCACCACAGGAGAATCAAGGCAAAGATGTAGCTATGGATGTGGCTCCATGGGGGCCAGGACAGGTGCCACTGCGGTCCTGGGCAATGTGCTGGAAGTCCCTGGCAATGACTTTACCACATGGACTGGCATGGAAGGATGTCATGGAGGGATGTCAAGTTTGAGCCTTGCTAAGCACTGAGTTGAGGCCAGATTACTTTGTGGCCAGTGTGTCTAGGCCACAAAACTCCTATGGGTTTTCAGTACTGCATAGTGATTCTGCTCTTTCCTCTTGGATGTATCCTCCACTCTTCCTCACTTCCATCCGTCTCTCTCTGTACTGCTGACCCTTGACCTTGTTGTTGACTTCACTAGGTCCCAATGACAAAAAAGACCTGTATTCCTTGTAACTAGCCTCCCAGGCCCTGAGTTCTCTTGGAATCCATCAGCTCTACCTTTTCCCAGTTGGCAGATTGCACTAGTCCCACCTATCTTGGGCCATCCTGTCCAGGTCTTAATTCTGCCATCAGCCCTCATGTTCTGCCTGTTTTTCCCAGAGGCCCTCAAGAATGAAACAGGACCCCAGGCTCTGCAACCCCTTCACCTGCCACCGAAGACTTCCCTTACACTTAAGTCAAAATTCTTCCAAGGCTTCACCCTCCCTTCCTCACTCTAAGCCTCCATTGGGGCCCCCTACAACCCCCATATTGTCAGTACACTGACAATGGCAATTCTTCCATGACCTATGCCAGTGTCCGATAAGCTGTTTTCTCCTCTGCAACACCCTTCTGCCCTGGTCTCTGCCTACCTCCCTGCTGCCCTTTTTGTTCCCTTCACTGCTTTTTCCTCTTCTCCCAGCTTTGTTAGCAATGACTCATCAGACTGGGGCCACCTCTGTGCCCCACTAACTCTCCCTTCATTGTGGCCTTGTCTAGTGTCTCGACTTTTGATGCTACCTCTATGGTGACAGTGCCCATGTTGAGGTCTGTGCCCCGGGTCTCACTCTGAAGCCCACCCACCTGTGACCCACTCATAGTCAAACCAGCCTCTCATGCCAGTGTAGCTGAATAGCACTCTGGGTTTCTTCCTTCCTCAAATTTGCCCTCCATTGGGATTTCCTCGTACTAATAAGTAGCATTCCAATACCAGGGTCAGCTTAGTTTCCTGTTCTACCCACCCAGGAGCAAGCAGGGCCTCTTCCTGCTCCTCCTAAATCTATCCAGAACCTTTCCCACCTCCCAGCCCCTACCCTGCCCAACTCTAACCCTTTGTAGCTACCTCCATTACAACAGTCAGGTGACCCTGTGGATAACTGCGGATTAGGTAGCCTTGGGAACTGCTTCCAAGAAAACACAGTCTGGGCTTTCTGAGCTCCAGGAGAGCTGGCCACACACAGAGAAGAACTTTAAAAGCCCACACTTGCCATCTCCTCCGCTCAGAAATGCCCACTCTGCTGTACAGGCCTGTTGGGTTCCCAGCACCACTGGTTCTTTGCACACTGCTACAGTTACCTGGGCTTCCTGTGCTTTCACTCACCCACCAGGCTCAGTCCAGTCTCCCAGCTGCCCGGCACCTACAGGGCCCTCTACCTTCCAAAGGCCTTATCGCTCTTGGGGTCTCTGCTCAACGCCACCTCACTGATACCCACCCCCTACTGCCCACTCCCAGTCTCCTTACTTTGCTTTATTTTTCTTAACCTCTAACACCACCTGAAGGTGATGATGCCATGCCCACTATGCATGAGGTCAGAGCTCTGACCAGTCAGTCTTTGTGAAATGAGTGGTGAAGGCTTGTGTGAATGCTGACCTGACCCAGTGCAGCTGCTGGGAAGCTGAGAGTGGGGCAGAGGTACCTGTCACAACTAGTGGACTTTGCTCACCCACAAGCCATTTGATGGGTCCTGGTCCAGCTGGTCACAGTCCCCAGGAGGAGGAGCTGGAGTGGGTACAGGGCCAGGTTGCAGAACACCCTAAGTCCCAGCCCTCCTCTTTCCTCTTGGCTTTTCCAATTCCTTGTTGTTTCCCCAAGGAGGCCCTGTGCTTAGAGATCAAGGCACATGTGGTCTTTGACCCAGCAGCACCCTTAGCCAGTTGTAGCATCTACATGGGCGGCCTCTCCTTTGTCAAGGGCTGCTGGTGTGACTTGGGCTCCATTCCTTGGTAGGGCTGTCGCTTAACCTGTCACAGTGGCCCTGGGGAATTGCATTTCCCTGCTGCTCCTGGCTCTGGCCGGAGTGGCTCTGTCACCAGAAGGGTGAATAAATAAATAAAAGGCTTCTTTGATTTATACTGAGGATGAAAAGGAAGGTTTTCCAGGGTTCCTCCATGTGTCTCTCCCAGCTTAGTGTCCATTTTCTTTTCAGGGCAGCCTTTGGGCCATGTGAGCTGGCCCCATGGGGCGGGGATGGGTAACTGATACGAGTGAAGGCTTCAGCGAGGCACTTGGAGCTCTTCTATTGCCAGAAGCAATCTGAGCTGACCAGGGACCCAGGGAGTCACAGGGAGGGGCCTGGGAGTCTGGGCTGTAACCCTGCCAGGAGCAGCACCAGCGAGCAGTTCATGCAGCCCAGTCCCTGCCAGCTCTGCCTTAAGGTGACTTTGAAGATGATGGGACAGCAGCTCAAGTTTCCCTGCCTAGAAGCAATCCTCTAGATCCATAAATCCCTGTCCAGAGGCCACTTGAAATTTGAGGCAGAGGTGCTATGGAGCCTGGGACCCCACCCCCAGGAAGGTGAAAGCCAACCTGCCTGCAGGGGATCAGGCTGGCAGAGGAGGGGCCACGTCCACCCTGCTGCTTTCTCCTTGGGAATTCTCAGACATCCAAGAACCTTGTGCCTGGGAGAGGGACATGGGTGGTGTTTGTCAGAATCCTCAAGCACTGATGGGTAAACTAAGTTGGTGTAAACAAGGGTCACAGGACCTTGGGGCCATCAGGAACCAATAGGTTCTCCCAGGAGCCCTGGCTGAAATCAATGAAAAGAGAAAGGAATGAGCCAACCCAGTGGTAAAGGAAGAGGGCCACAGCTCCGCACCGTCTCTGGGCCTGCCTCAGTCTTTTCCACCAAGCTTCGCTGGCACTACCGGCATCAGTAGGTCTTGACGGAGAAGTGCGGGGGCTGGGGAAGAAGAGATGCTCGTCAGATCGAGGGACAGGAAATCAGCTGCCACTTCCTGTGAGAAGTGACACAGTGGGGCCCTCCCGGGCTCATGCCTGGAGGGGTAGGACAGGCAGACAGATGCCGATGCTGGCAGGCTCACTTACACACAGACAAGGCTAGGAAAGGAAAGTCACAGTGCCCTGGCCCCACCTCGGCTACAGCAGACAGGGATACACACAGGAGAAGCCCCTGGTCTGAAGAGTAGACTCTGAACCTCACCTTTTTATCTTCGTGGCATAGCCCATCTGGCCTGGTAAGCATGGGGGTCCCAGTGTTGAGTGATACCCCGGAGACAGGAGCTGGGCAAGACTGCTTCTGGTGGGACCCCAGGCCTCCAACTGCTGAGGTCACCCTCAAGAATTAGCTTTGGTGTTTTCATCAGAATCTCTAGGACTAGAAATTAGCTGGGGCCAGCCCCATACTTGCTGCCCACCCTGAGCCAAGCAGAACCTTCCATTGGCCTCCCTCAGGCTAGACCTGGCTCCCTGTTCCTTGAAACACCCAGGTGTGCAGGGCCCTTCACATGACTCTGAGCTTTTACAGGTTTGTCCAGTGGGGCTGTCTTAGTAAGGGCCTCCTCCCTCACTGCTCAGGGGAGCCTCAGAAGATTTCCAGCAAAACATAGGAAAATTGGTGCCTCAGAGGTATCTGGCTTAATGGTATTCCAGCGTCTGCCCCACAGCGTCTGGCCAGGCTGCGGGGCCAGGCTCCACTCCTCACACACACCTACTTCTGCTCTAGACTTGGCTGTGGGGCCAGTCTCCACTCCTCACCACACACACAAACACACACATACCCCAGTCTCTGCTCTAGACTTAGCTGTAGGACCAATCTCCACCCCTCCCCTCCCCCCACCTCCCCCACACACTTGTCTCTGCTCTAGACTCAGTCCCTGAAGTTTCTTTGCATCTGACCTAAACACTTCCTTGTCCCTACATACCAAAGCCCATCTCACTCCTGTGGAAACTGAGTCCTTCACTGGCTGCTCTGTGGTCATCCTAGCCATGACCTGAGACTGGGTTCCATGCATAACAGGAAATGTACAGACATGGGTCTCTATAATGGCCTGCTGGTTTCCAGCTACATGACCTTGGCCAAGTCATTTTTTCCCTGTCTTTGTTGCTTTATCTGAAAGTGGGGGCAGTAAAAATTCTTCCCATTTCTGACTGCCCAGGAAGACCTAGCACAGCACTGGGATACCAGAAGCATGCAGTGACTCCTGTCACTCCTGTTAACCACCTCCTGATCCTGCTAGGGGTCCCTAGGAGATGGAGTTGAGAGCGTGGCTCCTTCTGACAGCACCTTGGAGGAAAGGCAGGCATGTGTATGTCCAGCCCCACCCCTGAACCTGGTGGGGGCTTGTGGGGGAGGAGTAGGAAGGCCCTGAACAGGGTAAGGGTCTCACAGCCACCTCTAAGGGATACTTGCCCTCCTCGCCCTCACTCTCACCCCAGCTTGCCTGTTAATCACTCAGGAAGGTGTGCATGAAACTCGACCTTCACCAGGCCAACTGATAGCATCTCTGGTACCAGCCTCCCTCCTGATCCTGGAGTTCAGCCCCATCCCCTGTGAAGGCCCCGTTTGGGTTGGGCCTGCCAGGAGGGGAGTGTTTATTTCAAGAGGGCAGATGGGAGCTGTGCATCCACAGTGTGGGATTAGCTCCTCAAGGTTGCAGGTATAAAGCTGCCTGCACACCCTAATGTTCTCAACAAGTGGACCAGAAGTGATCTGTATGGGGCAGTGGATGGACTTGGGGCTGGGGCAGGGTGGACGCAGGTGGGCATCATGTTCTATGACTGCTGCTTCTCATCTGCCTGTCAGCGTGAGTACCCACCTACCCAGCTCCAAGCCCCCTGTTGTCTCCACCACGTTGAGGACAGAGAGGCAAAGGCTATGGAGAAGGAGGGGGCACTTGACCACATACCAGCAAGGCCACTCCCCTCCCCTGGCAGCTTCCACCTCTGGGAAGCAAGGGTTCATCTCAGGGAAGGGGCCCAGCCCCTTGGTCTTTCCAGGGTAGTGGTGGGGGTCAGTAGCTGTCAGCTGGCAAGTCCTACTGTCAGGAAGAAGGCTTCAGCCCTCTGGGCTTCTGCTGCATCACAGCTCCCTGGTCACTTCTCTGGTCTTGCTTTGGGACAAGGAGGGGATGATTCTGAATGGTAAAAGATCTGGATCCTCCTGGCACTTACACCTGTGGGCAAAGTCAGGGTTGGTCTGGGCAGGCAGGATTCTCAGAAGAGAGGTTTGATCCTTTTAGGGGTCAGCTTTGGGCTACATCATCCCTTCCAGGCTCAGACTCAGGGTGGGATTCAGGAAAGCAGGCAGAGCTGACCCCACAACCCATCCTCACAGAAGGCACCATGCGGGCCAGCGAGACTGTGTCAGAGGCCAGCCCAGGCTCCACAGCCAGCCAGACCGGCGTCCCCACTCAGGTGGTTCAACAAGTACAGGGCGCCCAACAGGTAAGATGTATCCCTCTTTCAGGGGTGGGGGGAAGAGCATGTGATGGGGGCAGTGGTGGCCACAGGTTTCATTCCTGCCCTGCCACCAGAACCATCTGTTCCCCTATTCTTACTAAGGTGTTCACCCCAGCTGCCCCTCCACTCACCCAGGGCCTCTCTGGGGAAGCTGGCGTGGCTCAGGCGCTTACTCTGCCCCCGCAGCGACTGCTGGTTCAGACAAGTGTGCAGGCCAAGCCAGGCCATGTGTCACCTCTCCAGCTCACCAACATCCCTGTGCCCCAGCAGGTAAGCCAGCACACCCGCCCCTGGCAGCCTTTGCCAAGGCTCAGAACCCACCCCTGTGACTTGCTTGATTCTGCCCTTGCCACGTCAAAGACAGGCCCTACCTGCTGCCTCCAGTGGAGAGACCTTCAGGAGTCAGCTTAGAGGGAAGGAAGATTGGCAGGTGTGGCCTCTGCACTCCATGGCAGAGTACAGAAGGCCTGTGAGGCTGTGGGTGTGCCATGGGCTCCCTCCTGGAAGACTACAGGATACTTAAGGAGGTTGGCACAGAAAGGACAGAGTCCTATCAGACTTCCAAGGGGAGAGCATCTTCTGAGTGACCTGTGGCACCAGTTTCCCTCCAGCCTTGCCATTTATGGGCTGTAGGACACCCTACCCCCCACTGTCAGCTTTTGCCATTCTGAACCTGGTGGTCATGGTGAAGTAGGGTAATGACAGGGCTGTCACAACTATTGGATGAATCTGTGTGCTAAGAGATGTGTAGAAACATGATGTCACCTGAACGCGTGTTCTGGTTAGGAACCTTCTGGACCATCTTGGTTCACTGTGGTTCTTTCCCTCCTGGCTCAGGCTCTTCCCACACAGAGGCTGGTGGTGCAGAGCGCTGCCCCCAGCAGCAAAGGCAGCCAAGTCTCCCTGACGGTGCATTCACCAGCTGAGGTAAGTAATAGCCCTGGCTTCCTCCCTCCTCTCCCCAGGTCACCCATGTACCCTGACATTATATTAGAACTCCCTGCTTCTCACACTGTTACAGGGTAACCCAGTGTGAACTGGGCTTCCTGTCTGTGGGTCCTCAACCACTCGCTTAAAATTTAGTTGTACTACAGGCACACATAACAGGGTAATGGGTTTATTTACAAAGAGGAGAAAGAAAAAGGAACAACCCAGGGAAAGAGAGAGAGATACAAGATGGAACAACCCAGGGAAAGAGAGAGATGCAAGATAACTAGAATATCTTACCAACTCAACTGACTTTGAACTCTAGTAACAAACTAATGGATAGCCCTCAGTCACATGGTCTGAGAGAGCCATTGCCTCTCTCCGCCAGAGCCATTGAAAATCGCTCCCTATTTATCCCCCAAAGTCCCAGAATGCCTGCTTAGCTCCGCCCTTGGGTCTTCGCAGTTCTCTCCTTAGTACTGCTGGGAGTTATAATTTCCAATCACTGGAGTAGGGGTGGAGTCCACAAAACTCTGCAGAGTTCCTTTAGGACACCCTTTCCCCTTAATAACAACACTTCTCCAAATTCCTCCTGTCCACTCCACTTCTAGTACTGACACCCTCATAAGCCCCTGGTGGGTTGTTTGTTTGATCACTTCCTGGTCCAGTGGGTTCTGAACTTAGCCCGACTCTAAGAGGAAGTGACTTCCCCCAGAGTGGAGTGGGCCTTGGAGCTCCTGCTGAGTTCCTGTATCCCAGGAAGCAAAGTGGGCCTCTCTTCTCTCCACAAGGCAGGTAGAGGCTCCCCCTCAGACCAGAGTGGGGCACTGCTTGAACACCAGTGAGGGTGTTGGAGGCAGGCAGCCCATGGGTGACCAGTCTATGGTGTTGGTATCAGAGCTTGGAGTTAGAAAGCTGGCTTTACCATTCTATTTGTAGGATTCTGGGAAGGCCTTCAGATCCATGTGAACCCCTAGTTTTCTATGGGTAAAACAGCTTATGATACCAGCAGCATATCATTAATTGGGTTGTAATTGTAAGAATTACAGGGCTAGCAGGGCCCAGACTCAACAGGTTCTGTAGCTCTCTGCCTGGTGACATACATGATATCTAGCTACATGACCCTGGGTATGTCCCCTCTGGTCTGTGCCTCAGCACCCATCTGGAAAGTGGGGAGTCCCTCATCTGTTCTCAGTTAACAGCCTAGGTAGTTGAGGCACCCCGATGGCTGCCACTTTCCCCTATAGATTTCTGGGACAGGCCTCCCAAGGTTTTTTTAGGGCTCAGGTGCCCTAGACAATGCTTCTTCCCCTGTGTCTCCTCCTTTTACAGCGGTCACCGGTGCAGACCAACAGCTCCAGCAAGACAGCCGGGGCCCCCACAGGCACGGTGCCACAGCAGCTGCAGGTCCATGGTGTCCAGCAGAGTGTCCCCGTCACCCAAGAGGTGCCTGGACAAGGCGGGCAGCAGCTGGGTCAAGGGGTCCTGGTCCAGTTGCTCCTGCAGCCATTGGGGTGCAGGGGGGTGGGCGGTGAGAGCTGAGCAGATGGGTGTCCAGCCTTTCCAGATCCAGCATCTTAGTTTTAAAATTGCTGGCTACTTGGGCATTGGGGGTGGGGAGGAGGCCGCCTTGAGGATGAAATATGGCACCTAGGAAGTATGTAACACAGAATAGGCATTGGAAAGTTGTGAGAAAGAATTTTGGCCTCTTTGGGCCATTTGCCTAAAGGGATCCCCTAGTCCTAGCTCACCACTAAGGACTCGGTGAGGGGCTGAAGCCTCCAGATCCACACCCAGTCTTCTGGAGGAGTCCATACCTCTGAGCCACCAGCCACGAGGCCAGAGCCAGTTAAGAGACAAGGGTCATCTGCGCTCCACTTGCAGACCACCCAAGTTAGAAGGGTGGATCCCAGCCCTATGGGACACCAGATGAAAGCTATAGATCCTTTTCTCAGAGGAAAGCAGAAACCTGAAGGATTCACAGATATTCTCATGCCTGGAACCAAAGTCCCTCTGAACTCCCAGACCGGGGTTCAACTCCTGCCCTCCCTACTCCCTCCCCCTATCCCCCAGCCTCCATATCCTTTCAGTCAGCAAAGTCCACATAGAATAAACTGGTGTAGGGGGCAGAGTGGAGACCAGGTTCTCTCAGTTCCGACTTCAATTTCAACACTTGCTGTCAGTCTCACCTTGCTGAGCCCAGGTTCCACACTTGTAACTGGGCTGCCAGAGGTAGGAAATGAATTTGGAAGGTGCTTGGTACCTGCTTGGTACCTGTGGCCATGAAAACTGCCTTTCCTTGGATGGGGGGTGGTGAAAGCTGTGTGGATTACATAAGTTCATGTGGGCAGGGGGTACATGCTCAGGGACAGGGGGCTTTCACCACCATGGGTACCAGACTTGGCTTTGCTTCCGCAGAGGTCTGTGGTCCAGACCACTCCCCAGGCACCCAAAGCCGGTCCTGTGCAGCAGCTCACAGTGCAGGGGCTCCAGCCTGTCCACGTGGCCCAAGAGGTAGGTGGCTCCCCTACCTGGCTCTGGGCAAACGGGCTTGTTCCAAGCTGGGTCTGGGAGGGGGTACAGGCCCCTGAGACCACAGGGAGGGATTGGAGCCACCACCAGGGATCCTCAAGGCAAAGCAAATGGAGCCTTTTGAGCCCAGCCTGGCTTGTGCTTCCCACTGTTGGGCTCTGGGCTGCAGCTCTGGTCCCTTGGACCATTCCCCTTACTGGCACCCGCGGTTCGGAGAGGTCTGGGTTTTCCCTCCCTGAGACACTGGCGGCGGGCATCTTCTGGTCGGGAGCCCAGCAACCCTGGGAGGGGGGAAGGTGGAGGGGACCGCAGGGTGGGGGGTGGGGGTGGGGTTAGAGCCCCGCCCGCTGCCACCTCCCCGCCGGTGACCCTTCAGTGTCTCTGTTTGTCCTCCAGAGCTCAGGCAGTCAGTTTCCCGCTAGGAAGGCAGAGCAGCAAGAGCCCCGGCCCACGCCGCCGCCGGAGCCGCCGCCCCGGCAGCCCCCGCCCGGGCCCGGGCCGGGCTCTCTGGCCCAGGAGCCGCCGCTCCCGCCCTCGTGCAGCGGCGAGGCTCCGCAGCTAGGCAGCCCCGAGCCACCGCCGCCCCATTTCGAGCCACCGCCGCCCCTTTACGAGACGGGCGCCGAGCAGTGGGTGGAGCTGGTGGGCGTGCTGCCCCCACACCTGCTCCTGCCGCAGCAGAAAGTGGTGCTCGAGCCCCTACCTGGGCTCTCGGCCCGAGCCAGCCCCGACCAGAGGGTCAGGATCCAGAGAGTCCCCCAGGTGCTAGTGTTCGGCACGGCCGCCACAGCCATCAAAGTAGGTGGCGGACGCATGGGCTGGGGGTGGCTGGAGGGTGGGCAACAGGCGGGCGGGGGCGGGCTCCGCCCCAGCCTCAGGCCCTGTAGACCTCCCACCCCTGCCCCGCCAGTCTGGGGAACAGCTTCTGACACCACCACCACCACCCCACCCCAACCCCGCCCCCCAAAGCCAGCTGGGGACCCAGGCTCCACCCCTACAGACAGGGGTCGGGATGTGGGTGGGGTGGTTGGAAGAAGGGAACCAGCGCCCCTTCCAAGGTCTGGTCAGTTGAGGTTAGGTCCCTCCCACCCGGATCCTGCTCCTGGCTTCACCCCTAATATCCGGTGCCGTTTCTAGGCCCCGCCCCTATAGGCAGGGGTGGGTCGAATGAAGTCTGCAAGTCTGAGGCCCTAACTAGTTCCAGGCTCAAAATTTTAGCTAGGGCCTTGGCATTTGGTTTTGCCTTTGGGATCCACCTTTCACACCCACTGTGGGACCCAGTTTGGAGCCTTCACAACTCAGGCCCCGCCTGTCCAGTCCCCTACCGGAGTCATGGCTTCTCCTGACACAGTTCTGCCTGACTCCCAGTACCCCTTCCCACCTCAGGCTGTAGACCCTGGGCTCTGACCACCAGCTGGTATTCAGAGTCCAGTGATACAACCTTCCAGCCGGGGAGCCAGGTGTCTAGACAGCTTAGGCAACTGCCAGCCTTCAGAGGCAGAGGTGGCCTGCTCCAAACCTCTATCTGACTTCCTCCCACACCAGGTGCAACAGCTCCAGCAGGTGCCTGTGCCACACGTGTACTCCAGCCAAGTGCAGTATGTGGAGGGCGGAGATGCCAGCTACACGGCTAGTGCCATGTGAGTTGGAGGGGGTGGGGCTCACGGACAGAAAGAGGGATTGAGTTTGCTCAGAAACCCCCAGTCCATTCTTCAAAGCCTGGTATGACAGATAGGTTGGTGCTCCCCAAGGGCAGCCAGCAGCCACCAGGCAGGGGTGAAGCAGAGATCCTTGAATGTTAGGAAAGCCACCCAGCATAACTTAGGTCTTTGTGGAGTCAGATAGTCAAATGGCCTGGTTTCTTGAAGTTTTGGTTGTTGT